ATTCTCATTATTAACAACGTATTTACTAATATGCTCAGTCCTGAAATGCACAGGAAGTACTTTCAGAATTGCTAATCCATAAGAAAAAGAAATCTACTCAATATTTGTTTATAGTTCTTGTTTTCCCTTAGCCTGAAGGCATTTAGTCCAAACGCTGTGTACAAAAGTTACCCGAAGTAGTTCCTTTCCAGTAGTTCCTCTACACACCTTGAATCATTTGCTTGGTCCCATATCTCATTTCTGTATTTGTCACACCTGGCTCTTCAGGGGCACCAGAACAGTAGACCCCCTTCTCCATGGGTCTTCTCCACTGGACTGAGGCTGCCCCCTCCCGCCTTCATTAGGCTCCCCTCCACCCTCTTCTTGCCAGTTCCAGAAATGTCCTCCTATTCTCTTTGTAACTAAGATTTATTCCTTTTTAAGAAGTCCTTTGCTATCATTTCAGTGGGATTCTGGGAAGGAGAAGAGATACCTTATGCTCCCATTCTGCTGTCCCCGACCTCCAGGGGACTCTAGAGTCGGGAAGATCTAGCTTTACAAACTGTGAGACATGGGCATGGTCTTTGACTTCTCTGTGTGTCTCAGATTTCTCCTCCAGGAAGTGAGGGTGAGAAGCCACACATTACATGGTTTTAGGGAGGACTGATCTAGACCTTATGTGTAAAGTGGCTGACACAGTGCCTGGCATTGTGGGCAGTAAATGACACCTGTCATTGTCATCTGTTGACACCACTGATTGGCCACTTATTTGTTTGCATACTCATCCTGGACCTACTAAGTGCTGGGCATACCAGAGTCCCCGAGCATAAAAGGGGCAGGGAGGTCTCAGTTCCCAGTGTGGTCATCCCAGCTGCCAGTCCCTGAGCTGGAAGTGTTTTTGGCAACACGCTGCTTTTCCAGGCTTGGCTTCCTTCAGTCCCAGGACAAAGGCCTGGGACTTTTAAAACTCTTGCCTGACCTGGAGTCAAATGGTCTGTTGGGAGAGCTTCCCCCAGCTGTGTGCCAGTGTGCCTCTACTGGGCCACTGCTTTTATGCTGAGGACACATGATTGTCCCTGATGGGAATGAGTGATGAGCTGAAGACTTTGGTAGAGTGAGGCCAAATCCCTGTGTGGCTCCAGGAACGAGGATAAAAATAGCCGGAGTAATTGTTCATGCTCTTTTAAGGATTAAAAGTCAGCTTTCAGGCAAGCTGTGAAGCTCCATGACCAGGACAGCAAGGGACACAGTTCCTTTTTTAGAGGTTTGGTCATTACTCCCTGTGTACTGCTCGCTCCTGGGTTTCTGTGATGTTATTCTCACTTGAGCAAGGGGGTCACCTTCCCTAGTCTACACCCCATGAGAGAGGGATGGGTTTGAGGTGTCCCTACCCAGGGATGGGTATGAAGTGTCCCTAGTGTGGGTCTGGCACACTAAAGGTGCTCAACAAACATTTTTAAATGAATTTATGAGTTGTGAAAAGGCTATATTTTAAAAATAGCCTTTAGAATAAGATTTGTACTTGAGTCAATAGTAACACACCAGTGCCACCTTCCAGGTTTTCATACTGTACAACAGCCGTCCAAGATGTCACCACTGGAGGAAGCCGGGTAAAGGCTACATGGGACTTTTTGTACTATTTTTGCAACTTCCTGTGTGTCTGTAATTATTCCAAAATAAAAAATAAAAGCAACAAAAATAGCCTTTAGTTAGGCTCTTGTCAATACTCTGACACTTAGAGGAAGTAGTGCTGAGAGATCAATGATTAAATCCTGTTCATAGCAATGCTTTTATTTCATTATTATTTTTGAATGTCAACATATGATTTATTCATATGATTCAAAAATTTGAATGTATAAATGAGGCTTACAGTGGATACTGTCTGGCCCAGGCACTCCGTTTCTCTCCCCATTGCCAACTATTTTTACTTGTTTCTTGTGCTAATTTTCCCGAGATTGTATGCACATATACATACACACATGTACTTGTGAACATGTATGTGTGAACTTAAGTCTATTTGTGCACGTGTATATTTATAAACTGTTCTGTTATTTACTTTCCCACTTAACCATATCTTGGAGGCTTTTTATATCACTGTACAAAGAGCTTTCTTATTGTCTGTTATGGCTGTACCACATCATCTTTTTTTAGAGATAGGGAGGGGAGAGATAAAGGGAGAGGGAGAGAGAGAATCTTTAGCAAGCTCCATGCCCAGCATGGAGCCAGACGTGGGATTGATTTTGTGACCCTGTGATCATGACCTGAACTGAAATAGAGTCGGATGCTTAACCAACTGAGCCACCCAGGTGTCCCTGCACCCCACCATCTTTTATGGTCCCCCACATTGATGGATATTCATGTTGTTTCCAATCCTATTGCTTTTAAAAACAAAGCAGTAATGAATAATCTTGTTCATTTGTCACTTCCCAAGTGTGAGAGTGTGATTGTAGAACAAATTCATAGAGTTGGAATTGGGTCAAATATCCCGAGTCTTATCATCTTGAGAAGGCTAAATTGTCTTCTATAGAGCTTGTTCCATATTACACACCCGCCAGTAATATGTTTTATGAAATGTTTGTATTAATGCAGTGATTTTAAAATTTATTTGGTGTCTCCTTTGTGAGACTGGTGAAAGCTACAGACCTGGACCCAAGAGAAACAAAATCATACAGTGTTTCACATACAATTTCAGTTGGTTCAGAAACTCTGGAGGCTATCCATGAACCCTAGTTTAAGACACCCTGGCTGAGGGGGAAAGAGTTTTAGGGCCAACCGACCTAAGTTGACCCCTTAACTCTACCATTTCCCAGCTGTGGAATGCAAGTGGTTTCACCTCTTCATGTCTCAGTTTCCTTTTGGAAGTAAAGGTACAATAATCCTATTTCATAGGGCACTTGTGAGGATACATACATACTTTTGTGTAGAGCATCTAATGTAGAGGTTGGAATATAGCAGGGGCTCAATGTATGGTTTGTATACACACCCACACCTCAGTCCCACACACACCCTCATGTGTACCCAATGTCTTCCATTCCTTTTCAGCCTAAGTTTCTAGTTCATCTTTGGATTAACTCCTGCTAGATTCACAAGATCAACCCTTGGAGCATCATTCCCCAAAGTGGGGTCTTTGGACCAACTGCATAAGAATCACCTGAGGGCCTTAATTAAAATGCAGATTCTTGCATTTCCACTGTAGATCCATGGAATTAGAACTTTTGGAAGAGGGATTCAAGGAACTTCATGCTTGGGGATTCTCACACACACAGTGAAGTTAGAGAAATAGTACTATACAGTTTGCTAAATTCCTTCTAGTTCCTATACCTGAAATTTTAGTAGTTACCACGATGTATCTTTGTTAGTGGGAGCTATACCCAGCAAATGGATAGGTGTAGACACATGAGGGAAAGCAGAACTAGTACATGGTTCAGTCTCTTCTGGTTCCATCTACAAAAATACTATTTTTAAGGGTGTAACAGCACAAACTCTATTCTCATCAGGAATATTTCTCATAATAACCAGGGAGACCAGGACTAGATACCTATGGTTTGGGTTAGGATTGAGGCCCAGGGTGTCATGTTTGTTGGAGAAAGCCTGCCATGGCTGGGGTGGCTGACCCATGGCCAGAAGCTGGGAATAGGACTGTATACAGCCAGGCAGTTGTCACCAGGCAGGCTTGAGGGCACAGGCTTTGAAGCACCAATCCCTATAACTCTCAGAACTGGTAGATGATTTCTGGGGTGACAAATGATGGTCTAGGGCTGGAGTTGCCAGATTTAGCAAATGAAAATAGATGATGTGCAGTTCAATTAACATTTTGGGTAAGATATATATATCTTACCTGAAAGGATTTATATTTATTTATATATATATATATGAAATAAATATGTCCTGTATAATATTTGGGACATACTTACATTACAAAAGTTATGTATTTTTTAAATACACAAAGTTATATATTTAAAAAGTTATGTATAAATACAAAAGTTATGTATTTTTTAAAGGTTTTCTTTATTCATTTGAGAGAGAGAGAGAGAGAGCGCACGTAAGCAGGGGGAGAGGCAGAGGGAGAAGGAGAAACAGACTCTCTGCTGAGTTGGGGGCCTGACTATGAGGCTCGATCTCAGGACCCTGAGATCATGACCTGAGCCGAAGGCAGATGCCTAACCATCTGAGCCACCCAGGTGCCCCAAAAGTTATGTGTTGTTTATCTGAAATTCATATTTAAGTGGTGTCTTGTATTTTATCTGGCAACCTACCCAGGGCTTCTCTGACCTGCCTCCAGCTTCAGAAGATGGCTGGAGCCTCCATGTGACTTGCACAGAATCTGGAGCTCTGTGACTTTGGACCAAGGTGGGCACTGCACCCAAGGTGGGTGAGGAGCAAGCAGGGTCAGCGTGTGGACTTCCAGGAGGGAGACAGCCTGTCCTTGCCTGCGTCTGGGCAGGGGCAGGAAATGAATTTGTGCCAATCAACTCGATGAGATGCTGGCACTATGCTAAGGCTTCACTATGGTCTCCTTTAGCCTTCCTGCAACTCTTTGAGTTAGGCGTTATCGCTGTTATCCCTGTCTTGGAGATGAGGAGACTGGAACTCCTCAATGCAAAGACCACAGGACTGCTGAGCGCAGGAGCAGAGATTGAAGCCACTGGGGCTGCTGCCAGGTCTGGGATTAGCTGAACCTCCTAGGCCCTTCACTCTGGTAATCCCAAGGGTTTAAGGTGGGAGCAGCCCCCGCCCATGAATCCCTGGGACAGGAAGTGTTCCCAGTTTCTCCTGGCTTGGGGCCAGGATCTTGTCCAGCCTCACATGCTTGCTGGGGATTCCAGGCTGGGAGGCAGATCTGCAGTTTGTTTGGTCCCTGTCTGGCCAGGACAGTGCCCAGCAGCACGGGCTGCCCATGGGCACTGCCATTCACTGTGTGGGTGCCCGTGAGAGGCACTCAGGGCAAGCTCCTGACTCACAAGCCCAGCCTGCCCTAAGCTCTGGGGCCGGCCTGGTTAGCTTCCCCTGCCGTCAGCCCCCTGAGTGGGGCCAGAGGGGGCTCCCTGAGGAGCTCCAGGCTCCAAGTCCCAGCCCCTCTAGGAGGAGGCGGTGGCCGTGGCTCAGCAGCCAGAGGCTTCTCAGCTCAGAGCTCCAGAGCCAGATGTAACATTGACCTTAAATGGTAAAAGCTCCCCAGAGTGAAGAGAGGCTGGCCAGAGGAGGAAAGGGGAATAACTCAGTTTTAGGTAAGTCATTGCTATATCTAAGAATAACCTGCTCTTCAGCTGGGACGCAAGGGAACCCTTCTCCTCCTTAAAGGTACAGGGTGCTGGGACGGGGGCGCTTGACTTTAACTTTCAGGGGAGTTGGCTTTGTTGGGTGCCATTTCAGCTGAGTATTTTTATTGTTGCTGTCATGATTTTTAAATAAGAAGTGAATCTTGCCAGTCCTAACTTAATTAAACCGTGCTCTGTCTGCTCTGTTGGAAAGCATGCACAGGCTAGGGTGAAAATGTGGGTTCTCACTGGAGAGCCCACCCCCAGATTTCCTGTAGGCCCCTCTGGGGAATAGAGGGTCCCCAGCTTATGTAAGCCCCCCGGGCAGGGCTTTCCTCCCACTGCCTGCTACCCCTTTTCCAGCTCTGCTCTGTGCTTACTTCTGTCTCCCTCTGTCCGCCCCCGCAACCCTGTGCCACAGTCCTATCCACTTAGGACCCTGTGCAGGCCCAGCCCTGTCTCTATCCTTGATCCTGCCCCTGTTTCTGTCCCTGCTCCTCCTGTCCTGTGTTCTGGTCGTAGCCCCTGTTTTCATCTCTGTCTCCATCTCTCTTTCTGCATCCAGCTTTGCCCCCTGTGCCCCTTCCCTCCTCCATGGAGGGGGTACCTGTGCCCAAACTGTGCCCCTAGCCCCGCTCACCTCCAGGAGCTCAGTGTCAAAGCTATCCTACAATAAACGGCACTCAGGCTGGCTTTCTCCAAAGGAAAGGCCAGCGGACAGAAGGCAGAGAACGGCCTAGATATCTGCTCCCTCCTGCCCAGGAAATATTTGTGAAAGCCTGGAGATGCTCTGCAGTCCGAGTCAACAGAGTGTAGGGTCTGGGAACCCTGGCCAGTGCTTCTGCCTCCCAGAGCTTGGCAGCTGGTGTGCTCTTAACTCTCTCAGACTGCTCTTTGGGGGCTGCTGGGTGGGGGAAGTAAAGCAGCCCACAGGCTTGTCTGAGCTGGGTCTCCAGCAGGGGAAAGGAGGAAGCTTCCCAGGACTGTTCTGGCTGGAAGCACTAGGGAGTCAGAGTCTGCTAAGGGCTCCATCATCCCCACCAGGGGCAATGACATGCTGGTGACACAGGTGGGGTTAACTCCCCTGCAACCTCACCCGGTACTTTTCTGGAGAAGAAATACAGGTTAAGTGACTTGCCAAAGTTCAGACCACTAAGGAAGAGCCGTTCTAGGACTGGAACCCAGGTCTGACTCTAACGGCCGAGTTAACATAGCTGTGAGTGAGAGGGTACTCCCACTTCCTGTGATATCTGACCAAATGGACAATACAGTTGTCATCGTCATGTTTGGTTATCCTTGATACAGTGGGGTGTGTGTGGGTGTGGGTGTGTCTGTGTGTCTGTGTTGGAGGTGACTATATTCACATCTAATGCACCTTTCTTTATGTTTCTAGTAAGCGGGACATTCCTGCATACTCTCAAAGGTCATCTGGGAGATATAAAGAGGTGCTAATTGCTCCAGCATGATCAATGATCCAATAAACATGTTTTCTGGAAGAAGGAAACAAACAAACAAACATACCATTCTTGATGTGCATCGAACCCTGTTCCAAGCACGTCCCATATAGTAATTCAGCATCCAACACCCTCTAGGGTAGGAATTATTGTTATTGTCCTCATCTTGTAGATGGGGACATTTTAGCATAGAGATGTCACACAGCTGGTGAGAGGTGACCCCAGGCACCTGTTTCTGGAAGCTCTGTTCCTAACCACCATGCTCTGTTTTTCTCCAGTTGGTGCCACATCTGAGAGGGCAGGGGGAAGCAATGATTGTCTTCCGATGCTCTGTCTAAGGCTTTCCGTGCGGGATTTCTTGTGCCCTCCTCAGTAATGCCATGAGGGTGGTATCTTTACCCAGTTTTACAGGGAAGACAGTAGGACTAGGGGATGTTACATGACTTGTCCAAGGTCACCCAGCCACCAAATGACAGAGCAGGGAAGTTAGTATCTTGGATGAGGATTATTAATGCCTTTTTATTGGCACTGATTTCCGGGGTGGGGGGAACCAGTGGGCTCCTAGCTTCAGGCTGAGGGATTCTGACTCTCTGTGAGAGGAAGCTGGATTCCTGGCCTGATGGACTGAACTACATTTATGGTTCTCAGCTTCTCAAATGGCCCTGCCTCTTCCCCCAGTCTTGGTAATGAAGGTGGATGGATGCCACTTACACCTCCAGCAGGAGTGGAGATTGAGCCCTGTGAGGGCAGAGACCTTGTCTCATTCTCCACTGTGTGTCCCACATCCAGAATGATGGTGGGAGGTGCTGAGTGTTCAGGATCAATTCGTTTTCCTTACGAAGGGATGGACATGATGCTCATACAGTGTGCGACAGTTAAATGGGGCCCTGGTTTATTGTGTATATACCTGATGATCAGATTCTTTTAGCCTGGCCAACTGGGGTCTCAAGTTAGCTACCTCCCCCAACCTTGCCACCTCTTCTGGGAAGCCCCCATGGGGCCACTGGGCTGCCTCTCAGCCGTTCTCTCTATGACTCAGCTGTCATCTGAGGGGTCTTGACCAAGGAGGAGCAGAGACCTAGATGGGTGGTAGAGGAGAGATTTTGCCCCTGCCACTTGGGGAGTTCTTTGAATTAGTGGAAGGGAGATAGAGAAAGAGTTCTTGTGTAGTAAATGCAAAAATTGATAGAAATTGAGTCCCATTTGATGTCCTGCTAGAATGTTATTTCACTTAATCCTTATGATAGTGAGGAGGCCGCTGTTGTGGAAAGAGGTATAGAGGTGTGCCCAAGGCCGTGTAGCTAGAAGGTGGCGAGCAGGGATTCCAGCTCAGGCTGTTTGGGTCCAAAGCTGGGACTTACTGTGTTAGATGGCACCCTGCCTCTAGTTCGTAACATGTGTCTTGGGGAAGTTATTGGGTGCCACAGTCCAAATGATGGAAAAAATCAAGAAAAGGGGGAAAGGGATATTGTGTTTGCCTTATAGACCCTGGAGGTCAGAGCCTGAGGTTCAGGGGACAGCTCAGAGGCAGCCTCACCGGATGGGATGCAGAGGCAGCAGAAACCTGTGACCTTGGACAAGCCCCGCCTTCTCTGCAAGGGCCTTCTCCAGAGGAGAAGGAAAGGAGGTGACAGCCAGTCAGCCAGAAAACCTCCCTCCCAGTGCGCCACAGCTGTAAAAAACAATTTTCAAAGGCTGGGGTTAATCAGTTCTGGTTATTTTCTTCCTAGTACTTTTTAGATGTATAATTTTTATTCAACTTCTTTTCCTGGTAATGAAAGTAATATATGTTCTGTGCTAAAATTTCTTAGAAAATATAGAAATAGATACAAATAAGAAATACAGAAGTAAATATGAAGAAATAAAAAATCCCTCCAGAATCCTGCCACTCAGAGATAAATATTGGGTTTTGTTTTTTGCTTTTTAAAGATTTTACCCATTTATTTGACAGAGAGAGAGCACGAGCAGGGGAGTGGGAGAAGGAGAAGCAGGCTCCCCACTGAGCAGGGAGCCTGATGCAGGACTTGATCTCTGGACCTCAGGATCATGACCAGAGCTGAAGGCAGATGCTCAACCGACTGAGCCACCCAGGCGCCCCAAAATTGTTAATATTACAGTGTATTTCTTTCTTTATCTTTCTCTGTATTTTAAAAAACGAAGGTCTTACTATGTGTGGTTTTGTAGTCTGCTTTAAAAGTTTTTAAAAAGATTTTATTTATTTACTTGAGAGAGAGAGAGAGCACATGCACACAAGCAGGGGTTGGGCGCGGGGAGGGGCAGAGGGAAAAGGAGAAGCAGACTCCCCACTGAGCAGGGAGCCTGACAACGTGGGGCTCAATCCCAGGGCCCTCATGACCTGAGGTAAAGGCAGATACTTAACTGACTGAGCCACCCAGGTGTCCCTGCTTTAAAAATTTTTAAGACTTGGGGCGACTGGGTGGCTCAGTGGGTCAAAGCCTCTGCCTTTGGCTTGGGTCATGATCTCAGGGTCCTGGGATCGAGCCCCGAGTCAGGGGCTCCACCCTCCTCTCTCTGCCTGCCTCTTGGCCTACTTGTGATCTCTGTCAAATAAATAAATAAAAATCTTAAAAAAATTTTTTTTTTAAGACTTTGTTCTTCCAGGGGAGTTTTAGGTTCACAGCAGGAAGGAAGGTACAGAGATTTCCCACATACCCCCTGCTTCACACATGCACAGCCTTCTCCATTAGCAACACCCCCTACTAGAGTGGTTCATTTGTTACAATGGGAAACCTACACTGACACATCATTATGACCCCAAGTCTACAGTTTACCATGGGTTTCACTCTTGTTCATTCTCTGAGTTTAGGCAAATGTATTAGGACATGTATCCACCATTATAGTATCATGCAGCGTAGTTTCACTGCCCTAAAGATCCCCTGTGCTCCAGCTATGCACCCTTCCTTCCAACCCTAACTCCTAGCAACCACCGATCTTTTTACTTTCTTCATAGTGTGGCCTTTTCCAGAATGTCAGATAGTTGGAATCACACAGTATGTGGCCTTTTCAGACGGGCGTCTTTCACTTAGCAACATGATTTGAGTCTCCTCCATGTCTTTTCATGGCTTGATAACTCATTTCTTTTCAGCAGCGGATAATACCATGCTGTGTTGATGTACTACAGTTTATTTATCTACCCACTTACTGAGGATATCTTGGTCTGACTTTTTTTTTTTAAACCAGAAATTTTATCATGATCACTTTTCTCTCTCATTAAAGATACTTCAAAACATGATATTTTGATGGTTGTATAACACAGAGTAATTTTAGCTGTGCCACGGATCATGGTTCCTCTTGTTGGGCATGTACTAATATGGTTTTCCTTTGGGGACAGTCCCAGTTGTACACATATGATGGCTTTTCTGTACATGTATGTAGTTTGGAAATTCAGCCCTCAGAGGTGGGCTTGTGCGGTGGGGCCCACGGTGGGGCTTAATCCGCAAGATCAAGTAAGTGGGGTACTGACTCAGCCCTAAACACACGTACTCACATCACAAG